AAGTGTGAAACAGATCGCCAGTCCAGGTTGGATGCATGAGACAAGTGCTAAGGGCTGGTGCACTGGGATGACCCAGAGGGATGGGATGGGGAGGGAGGTGGGAGGCGGGGTTCAGGATGGGGAACACATGTAAATCCATGGCTGATTCATGTTAATGTATGGCAAAAACCACTACAATTTTGTTAAGTAATTAGCCTCCAACTAATAAAAATAAATGAAAAAAGAAAAAAGAGAGCCAGGTGGAGATTCTGGAGCTAAGTATCATGAAAGTGAAAGTGAAAGTCACACAGTCGTGTCCGACTCTTTGTGATCCCATGGACTGTAGCTTGCCTGGCTCATCTGTCCTTGGAATTCTCCAGGCAAGAGTATTGGAGTGGGTTGCTATTTTCCTTCTCCAGGAGATCTTCCTGACCCAAGGATCGAACCCAGGTCTCCTGCATTGCAGACAGATTCTTTACCAACTGAGCCACTGGGGAAGCCCAAGGAGATTCTGGAGCTAAGTATCATAACCAAAATGAAACACTCACCAGATAGATGGAGTAGTAGATTTGAGCTGGCAGAAGAAGAAATAAGCATGTGTGTGTGTGTTAGTCGCTCAGTTGTGTCTGACTCTCTATGCTGGACTCTAGCCCTCCAGGCTCCTCTGTCCGTGGAATTCTCCATGAAAGATTACTGGCATGGGTTGCCATTCCCTTCTCCAGGGGATCCTCCCAACCCACGGATCAAATTTGGGTCTCCTTTATTTACTGTCTCAGCCACCAGGGAAGCCCGAAGTGAAAGTGTTAGTTGCTCAGAGATGTCCACTCTTTGCAACCCCATGGACTGTAGCCTGCCAGGCTCCATCCATGGAATTCTCCAGGCAAGAGTAAACTTGAAGATAAATCAATAGAAATTTTATGCAGTTTGAAGAACAGAGAGAAAAAAGAAGAAAGAGAAGTGAATACAGCCTTAGAGAAAAGAAATTTTGCTTTATAAGAAATCCCAACAGAGATTCTTCAGGTTGAAATCACATAATACCAGGCTGTAATTGGTATACACTTGAAAAACTAAAGAGCACCAGTAAAGATAATCATGGGCTTCTCAGGTGGCACAGTGGTAAAGAATCTGCCTGTCAATACAGGAGGAGATGCAAGAGACACGGGTTCAAGCCCTGGGTCAGGAAGATCCCCTGGAGGAGGAAATGGCAACCTGCTCCAGTATTCTTGCCTGGAAAATTCCTTGGACAGAAGAACTTGGTGGGCTACAATCCATGGGCTCTCAAAGAGCCAGACACGACTGAACGAGTGAGCAGACACACAAAGATAATTATGTATGTAATTTACAAAACAGTGTAATTGAACATTTTACATTCTGACTGATTTAAGAAGCAATCGCATAAAGCAACATGTATGTAACTGTACTGCTGAACCTGTAGAACAGAGAAGTATGCTGTATTCGATCATAATAGCACAAAGAAAACAGGTGGAAGCTGTCTTGAGTTAAGCAAATAACTGAATCATTAGACACTTAATAAATCATATGAATTTATTAAGTAGCCTTATCATACTCCCAATTTTACAAGAAATTTGTAGACAAAGAGAAAACATGGACTTTGGATTCAGAAAATCTGAGTTAAGTCCTTGCTCTGAGCCACCGTTAGCAGTTTAAACTTGGATAAGCCATGGCATTTTTGAGTCTCGGTTCCTTGATTTATCAAGTGCAGTCAGTGGTATGATGTCTGACTTACCTTCTTTGTCCCATTTATCCTTTCAAAGGATCCTAGCATGTGATGCTGTATTCACAAAGCTCATGGGTTCCTGTTTGTATCCCAGGCTGCAACCTGCCAGCTCAAATCCAAGTTCATCTCCAAAATCCCCCTTCCTTAAGTCACCACCCATAGAGCCTGACTCTCATTCTCACCATCTCCCAAGGCAGAAAAGAATCTTTCTTTAGGCTACTACGGCCCTTCATGTTATATCTTTAAAAAACATATTGGAGTATAATTGCTTCACAATGTTGTGTTAGTTTCGCTGTACAACAAAGTGAATCAGCTCTGTGTATACATGTATCCCCTCCCCCTTGGACCTCCTTTCCGTCCCCATCCCACCCCTCTAGGCCTTCACAGAGCACCGAGCAATACAGCAGCTTTCCACTAGTTATCTATTTAAATACGGTAGTGTGAATATATGTCAATGCTGATCTCCCAGTTCATCCCACCCACTCCTTCCCCCATCCCACCTTGTCCACATGTCTGTTCTTTATGTCTGCATCTCTATTCCTGCCCTGTAAATAGGTTCATCTATATCATTTTTCTAGATTCCACATATATGCATTAATGTACAATATTTGTTTTTCTCTTTCTGACCATTGGCACATCTTTAACTGCATTCATTTCATTCCTCAGAAGTCATTTTTTTCTTTTTTAGTCTGGGGTTGCTGAAGAGAAGAAAGATCCCTGTGTCTTTTGTCCTGTCTTAGTAGACAGTAAATAAAGGTGAATTACTGAATGCATTCAATCAGCATCAGGTCCCAGGGAGTCCTGCAGCAATTGCTTCCCCCTCCTACTTACAAAAATTATATTTTGTGTAAAAATACTGGCTGTAGTATATTCCGGTTTTATCAACAGTTATTGCAAATCATCTGCTTCTTCTTGCACTTGGTACCTGGGGGAAGGAGAAGGAATGCTGTAAAGCCTGTGAAAATAAGAACCACCTCAGAAACAAATCCACGAATAGGCTAATATATTTCTTACTCTGGAAGAGGTGAAAATTGTGAGTAATTTTCCCTTCCTCCTTTTTTCTATGTTATTTTGGTTTCCAAATTTCTACATTAAGTCTGTATTGTTTTATGATTATGATGAAATGGCTGCTTGCTGATTATAAAAACAGACTGCAAGCAAGCTCGGCTTCCATTTCAAAGCTCCTCTTTGGTGCCCTCCCACCCCGAAGCAAGCGATACCCTACTTAAAAGCAGTTTCCAAAACTGAACCAGGAAGAAATAGAAGATCTTAACAAACCCATCACAAGCAAGGAAATCGAAACTGTAATCAGAAATCTTCCAGCAAACAAAAGCCCAGGACCAGATGGCTTCACAGCTGAATTCTACCAAAAATTTAGAGAAGAG